GCACTGGTCTCAGCATACCTGTTAAGGAAATGTATTGAGCAGTCTTAACTGCTCCTTCACAGTACACGGTTTTATTGTATATTGGCAATGAGTACTTACTAAGCTGTCAGATGTTATTCAGTAAGCTGAATTTACCAAAGTATTGCTAGTTGCTGGTAAATATTATCAAGCTGGTACCATTAATGTGTGGTGTTGGTAGAGACACATTATAATACATAAAGGAGTTCCTGAGTCAGATTTTGAGTTGTCAGGTAATACATCTTTCTGTACAGTTCATCAGGATATTGTGATAAGCTTATCTCAATTTTTCAGTGCTTGATTTTTGCAAGTTTTACCTTCAGTCAGTTGCAAATCTGTGTGGGTTCTCTATTTTTTCCAGCATTTGAGAAGCTGAGTTGTCTGAGTTAGCTTTACACATGAATAAAAAGGCAAGGAATTCCAAGGGATGATTATTTAATATCAACTTTTCAAAAAGTTCTTGCAACAAAACTTTTATTTAATATAAGTGGAAACAGACTTTGGCATACTATGGTGTTTTCCTATGCAAGATGTATAACACTGAATCCTATCAGTAACCCACAGTGATCTATTTGTTTTAATAGCATGCTTTTATTAAGCTTTTTGCAGTTTACACTAGGGCTCACTGATGTGGAACAGTGAAAGGAGTAGGGAGTACTTCCTTTTAGGGAAGGATCAGAGTCCTTTAAGGCAAGCTTGGATCAATTTTTTGATCTGTACTTTTACTAACTCCCTAACTTAAGAGTTGGTTATGTTTGTATTACAAAGCTTTTCTGCTTTAAGTCAGTTGGCACTTCATTATACAAATAAATGACTTTTTTTTCTAAACTCTCTTACTCAGAAATACTCAATCCCTCAAAATGCCTAGTCATTGGACAGAGAAAAATACCTCATTTGTTTGAAACTTTAGTTATTGTTACACACACAGAGATACACTTTTTCTTTCAATTGAAGTACTTTGTTACTTTGTACTTGCTTCTCCTCACTTGGTTTTTCAAGGTTGACCTGTAATAGTGTGTATGATTTGTTCTGCTACAAACCATGAACGTATGTTAACTATGCATGTTGTCCAGAAGTTTAACTTGCTAAAAATACATTTGTGTTAGTTCCTGTCAAGTTAAATAGCATAATACCCTAAAAGGAAAGACGAACTGTACAGCTGGTCTTTAGACAACACCCCCTTCCCCTCTCTTTTGACAGGAACGATACTTTAATGAAACCCATTACTTACCCTGAGTTGCTTACCTTTATTTTGGGCTTCGCAATTTAAGCTAAATGTGTGTCCTTAAAAGGGACAGGGTAAAGTTAAATCATACTATTCACCACCTTTGTCCATATAAATGTATTGTTAAATCTGAAAACTAAAAGCACTTTTTCTCAGTAATAGTAAATGTTCTTCCTCTACACTAAAAATCTCTTTGCAAAGTGAGCAGTTCGTGTGTGTATTTTCATTTAATGGCTTGCAAATGTTTTCTTGGTGATTTAGTACTTGCAACCAAGCATTCCCTTCTCATTTAAAACTGAACTGCTCATTTATAAACTACAAACAAATGAAAATGGGGGTGGCGTTTTTGCATCTCCTTAATAAAATTGCTTGTTGCATTTAAGTTTTTAGGAAGATAGGAAATGAATAGTCAGAAGCATGTCCCTGATAGGTAAAAAGAGGAGGGCCAAATGCTGTGTCATTTCTTCGGCTCTCTACTTTGTTCTGTAGTATTAAATAGTACTGATTGTGGTTTCTCTTAATGTTATTATAATCTTTGCCATAAATGGGGGATCATGCAGCCGCAAAGTCTGCACACACCAAATCTGATGAAGAGCATGGAATTTGTTTAAAGTACTTCAAACATCAGTCATCTTTCACAAGAGCAGTTAGGGTGGGAGTAGGGGTGCTAGTGTACAAAAAGTCTAAGCAAGGAGAAGGAAGGGAAGAACTTCTAATTTCATAATAAATTTATTACTTTAAGGGTGGAGTGCATCTTCTTGCTAAAAGGTCTTAGCAAGCAGACTGTGATGCCCCCTCCCTCCCCCCCCCATCTTCTCTACTGCTTTCCAGTGGTATAGTATAATTGATTGCTTGCAATTTTTAGGGTTTCAGCTTTGCTTTACAGGATTTCAAGGCATTTTTTAACATGTTGTAGAAGTTCTGGGAACCTTTCTGGACCAGGTCTCTGATGCATGTCTGCCTGCAATTGCAGGGTCTAGACTGGGGAAACCCAGTCTTTTAGTTCTGTATTCCAGAAATTCACTGTTCACCTTAGGATCTGTGGCCACTGTTTAGCCACAAATGATCACAATATTCAGCTGCTTCTCCCACTTTCTAACATGACATGTGTTCCCATCATGCTTGTGCAGATTACGTACTGCTTATATATCTTAGATATACTGTTCATGCATAAAGCCAACTTCCTTTTTTTTTTTTTTACATGATCTTGATGTGTTTAGCATTTTTCACTATAGCAGGTAATGAAATTATACATCTGCAGACAATGCAGTCGTCATATATCACGGCATTTTTAAAGTAAAGTCTGATATACCATGTGAACTATTTGCAAAGCTTAGATAATGGTTCATGGTAATCATTATCCACTTATACGCCAGCTGATTGACCTCTAGCCTTGTCAGGGAGCATTCTCTGACTGCCTAGGTAGCCAAAAGAGTGTTCCAAGATATAGCTGTGTGTTGCAGTGTTGCATATGAAGGGGTGATTTGTAGCATGAGTTTCCGTAGTAGACTTTTTTCTGATCTGCTATATGTAGTAGTGGTGATAGTGTTCCACATTTCAAAGGCTGTTGCCAAGAAACGCGTAGCCAACATCCCTGGCACGTTTGCACAGCCCATGGTTTTTCTGTGTCTTGAAGAATATATGTAGTACTGGCCTCCTTCTTTCCAAATGTATATAGTTGAAAAGGAGAATAAAAATTTGAAGATCATGAGAAGAGTTAACAAGTATGTGCAGGAGATCCACTGAGGATGATCAGTCAAACCACAGGGAATCCCTTGAGCTGAACGTGGTTGGAGGAGTGCATGCATGTCCTTTTCTTGTTCTGCTGCATCCATAAGCTAGCAGATGGATCTGGCAGGCAGGCTACTGGCCTAGAAGGTCCTGCAGCCTGAGCCACAGTGGCCATTCTGACCCTTTTCCAAGCACTAATAAAGATTGTGTAATGTCGTGAACATGTTGACCATGTGAGAAGATCCAGCAGCAGTTTTTTCTTCTTGGACTCACAAAAATCCCTGTGAGTCAGATAAATCTGTGGGAAATTGAAGTTTTAGTTTCATAGCTTGTGGTGCCAGTTTTGGGACCTCTGTCCCTTTCTGAGTCATCTGTGTGTGTGGCAGCAGCTCTAGAATGGTGAGTGCCTGGCTGCCTGCAGGTTGTCAGATATGCCCTGTTATTAGGTAGTCAAACACTTGGAAATACATTTGTAAGTGGCTGATCCATATAGTGTCATACATGTCTGGAAGAAAGGCCTCCGACTTGCATGTAAGCAGTTTATGTGCTGCCTCAACGCCTGACACCTGTGGTCTTGCTTGCTGCTTCTCTGTGTGTGAGAGTGAGCTCTGGTTTGTCAAGGGAGTTTAGTTGGCATGCTTGGACATGCTCCAGCATCTACCTGTATGTATGTATGTATGTATTTTTGGTCAGAGGTTGCTGGCTGCAAGTCATCCTCTCATAGACCAGTTAAATCTTGCTGAGACAGTATATGTGCATTTTCATACCAAGATTCCACTTATATATGTTAATGTGTTGTTGTACATCTTCTGTCCCCTCTGTGTTGTCTTTCCCCTTCTTCTCCTCCCCCAAGTAATAGAGCTGGTTTTCCATAGGACAGTATCAGGGCACTCAGCTGTAAGGCAATTTACAGGGTAGCCTGCATCTGCTATAGAAAGCCTGTCTCCTAGCTGCTATAGCCTCTGGTATAGGAACTGTGCTCACAAGGTATCTTAAGAGTGAGCTGCAGCTTGTTGCTATCGACCTTGCACGGTAGAAGGGAAGTTCCTAGGAGGATGGTTGTAGTGAAGTGAAGATTAAAGCTGTCCTGGGCAAAGAGAAATCTGTGTATCTTCCCAGAAGACTTTCACCCAAACTATTACCATACCTAAGCATGGAACAGTTTTTTGGATAGGCATCTATGTATAGATCAGTTCTTTGTTCAGAAGTTCTATTAGCTTCTGAGGCAGTGCTGTAGTAGCAAGGAAAGCTCAGATGTGATCCACTTGCATCCTGACTCCCTAACCAGGTTTTCATGGGAATGACATGGCCTGTTGTGTCATGATTTACATGTGGAACAAGACAGAGCTCTTCAGTTTCTCCTCCCCCTGTCCATTTGTGGTTTGTTTTCATGGATATCAGACTTTCTTAGAAATGGGCAGCTTTCTAACCTGTCCAGAGTAAGTGTCCTTCTCTGCCTTCATGGTAAAAGTCCAGATTCCCAAAGGGTATGCTATTACTTTGAAAGAGCTTCTCTGCAGTCCACATTGCTTTACACCAGGCAAGAATTAAGCTAGCTGGTTAACAAAAAAGTAGCTGTTGCAAGTATTTGCTTCGTCCTTTCCATGCCCAATGATGCTGCCACTCATTTGTATACAATTCTTTACAGACTCACAGAGGGGTTGTCCTGGGTCTCAGCCTGACAAAGACTTGGAAACTTGTAAAATGTGGTGGTGTTGTGTATCTTTGTTAGAAAAGGCAGTAAGTGTTTGAAATTTAAGTAACTAAAATCTTTATCTAGGGGAAAAAAGGTTGGTCTATCTGTAAATTAGACACCTGTTTTTAGACAACTGAAATTCCAGGACTCCTGATGAAACATGATACAAAACAAAAACTTGAAAAAATTCTGTTACATTTCAAGTACAAGACTGACTTTTGACTCCATTTCTTTTGGAAATGCAATCAAATTGTTGTGATTTAAAGCACATAGGTGTGGGAGACAGCCATATGAACAGTGTCTATCTTATAATTTCCACCTTCTTATTAGGTTGCTACTAATGGGATTATTGCAGTGAATGAACCTTCAAGTGAAGAAAAATATCTTGGTCAATTCCCAATCAGTTTTGGGGCTATTGCTCCTTTTATGGCTGACCTGGACACAACAGATGGACGTGGAAATGTGTATTACAGAGAAGATTCATCCTCAGATGTCTTGCAACTTGCATCTGACTATATCAAAAGAGGTTTTCCTGAGACTACTTTTGATCCCAGCAGTGTTGTCATTGTTACCTGGAAGCTCGTGGCTCCTTACCAGGCATTGGGAGAAGGTCATGCTTTGGAAGAAAAGGTGAGTGTTTTAAGACATGTTGGACATATGGTCATCTGAACACCATAACCTGTTGTCTTGAAGGCTTGAATTCCTTTGTGTTTAAATGAATCTTGTAGAGTTCAGAATGTATTTTATTGTTAAATGAAAATGTAGCAAAATAGGAGTTTCCAGGGTTTTTACTTCATTTTTATTCTACAGTATTTTATTAATTAAAAAGAAAATCCTTGAATCTACACAGCTGATCTGTTTGTATTCCCTGACAGCTCTTACTCTGAATGTTAAGTAAGTGTGTTGTGGTAATAACTGAAATAGTAGGGTATCCTGCCCTCCATCTGTGCAATGTAATGGAGTTGGTTTGCATTTTCTGATAGACTCTTAAGTCTTTGTGGCATCAGACTCTCTAACTATGTGGACTAATAGGAACTTCAAACTGTGACACCTTTTTTGACAGTCGATGTTGCATTTACAGAAGTGCTTTGTAGCTAGTACTGAACGAAGAATCATTTTGAGGTTGGTGGGGTTTTTTTGTTGTTTTTTTTTTTTTTTAAGTATTATTACTTGCAAACCATTTTCCCTTTTAAAACCATCTTACGTACTATCCTGCAAAAACATGTAACTTATGCACCATAAATATCCCAGCTGATGACCCTGATAATAGTGTTTAGAGTTGAGAACATTACCACAACTTAGAAAACCTTATTTTGTCAAAGGTTGATTTCTTGTGTCAAGTTAGGCACAACCATTGTGTTCACAGTAATGATTCTGCACTCAGGTAGCAACAAACAGCTGATGTCTGAGGTGCTGTCTTGATGGTTCCTACAAGACAATATACTTGCAGCAGCATGAAACTTGAACTCTTCTTTAAATATTCTGTTTACAGAATTTTTCTATTTAGTCTAGCACATCACTCCCTTTATTTTTAAGGAGGTGGTATAGCATCCTATGCAAGTTATAGAACTTAGAATTGCTGTGTTTTAGGCAGCCTCTCTGCCTGTATCCTAACAGATTTAACTTACCTTTGGTAATGCTTTCTTCTTAATGTTTATGCATGCTAAAGCTAAACTGCCTTAGCAAAACTTAAGCATGTGTAATACTGATTTATCCTAGGAAGAACATGATGTGTGTGATGGAAATTCTGATTTTGACTTCATGTTTAAAAAAAAGTTATTCTGTTGTCTATCATGACTATTTTCCCATAAGTAAATTGATGTTGTTTTGGTTTGTTTCTTTTTTTCCCCACAGAGAAACACATTCCAGGCTGTTTTAGCCTCTTCTGACTCCAGTTCCTATGCTATTTTCCTTTATCCAGAAGATAATTTGCAGTTCTATAGCACATACTCCAAGAAAGATGATGAAAAGATTCCTGCTATGGTTGGCTTTAGTCAAGCCTCTACAAACTACTACTTTTGGGAAAAGCCAGGATCCTACAATGTCATTGCTAATGATGAAGACAGCATTAGAAACCTGCACAAGTATGCATTTTTGTTTGTTTAAACTCCTCAAGAAAACACCAAGGAGTTTCATGTTTTTCTGAATTGTAGTATGATGTCAATGAGTAAGATCCCATTAGTCACTGCATGAGAAATTGCAAAGTCTGCCACTGATAAATACCCTCTTGAGAAGTATGAGGACTTCTGTCTAGTTTGTTCAAAGTCCATGTTTCCATTGTCAGTGGTAGGAACTACTGTATAGTTATCCCTTGTAAAAATAAGACCACTTAGACTTTAACTCTTCACAGTCTATCCTGGGCAGTCTTTTCTTTTGAAAGAAAACAAAAGGAACAAGAAGGAAAGGGAATGAGTTAGAAAGTTCTAGTAAGTGTTAGCAAGATCTCTGTGGCCCAACTGTCTCTCTTTCCCATCATTTGAAGACAAGAAGGCTAGAAATTCTCAGGAAGATTGCTCTGGGTGTGGAGAAAAAAGATGCTATCCAAACTGCCAGGGATGTTTTATAGCTGAATAAACTGTACTTGTAGATAAATATGTACATAAAATAATTTAACAGTTTTGTCCTAATACTTGTCAGTGAAGGATAGCATTTTGTGTAGGCTAGAAATACCACACGATTTATACTTGATCATTTTGATTTGGTGTATGCTTATTTTTGATAGAAGCAGCAATGCTGGGAAGCAAGGTCTCTGGGTGTTCGAGATTAGCAGCTCATCTGACAGTATTGTGCCTGCCAAGATCAGCAACATTTTGGAAAGCCTCGAGTCCAATGAACAAGACCAGGACATGACTTCAAAACCATTTATGTCAGATTATGGCTCCACTGAAATAAGACAGCAGTATGTCACCAGTAGTACAGACAGCACAGAGGAGGATCAGCACTACGTTACATATAGTGTTCCTCAGCTGGCTGAAGACGACTTTCTGACTTCATACCAAGATGTAACTGGAACACCTTCAACTGAGTCTTTTTACAGTCATCAAGATTTCCCAACAGCAAAAGCCCCACCTCGCCAGTTCCAGGTCCAGCAACCCCCACAGCAACCCCAAGTCATAGATGTGGAAGAATTTGATGAAACTGGTATAGGTAAGGTCTTTTGTACCACTTGGGTCCTTCTGAGATGTATAGGCTGTGGAAAACACAGAGGCATGTGAAAAATTGAAGTACTAAAGAAATAATCTGTTTCCTTCTCACTACCGTCATATCTGAAAATCTGGACATGTTTAATACATTTGTGTTACTCATCGAGGTACTTAACTTGGATGTCATCTCAGATTCAAATGTTGTCAGTCTGGTAAACCAGTTTTCCTGTCAAGCTCACAGGAGAGCACATTTACAGTGTGTCTGTGAAATCTGAATCTCTTTGAAGGAAAGATTCCTCCTACAGAGATATCATATTCCTAAAGATGACACATTCTTAATGGGAACTTATTTCCCCACCTCTTTTGCCCAGGTCTGTTGTTAAAGGTATAATCTTAACTTTAACAGCTGCATTAAGTGGCTGTTCCTGGTAAGAATTTGTTGATCAGTTCTACTGAAACCTAGGTTTTTTTCCTTACACAGATGTGTTACTGAATACAGGTTATTTAATAAAGGTTAGGAATAGTAACTGTTGTAAAAATTGTTGGCTAGGGTTTTGTGGCCTCAAGTTTTACAGGGTGGGATTAGCAATTCTAACTTCTGAGGAAGTGTTTATGGAAAATTCAAACCAGTGTGACTGACTGTCCAGGTGCTACTTTTTTCTTGAAGCAGATGTGAGAATTGCTATTTCCAGGAAATGAAAGGGTAAAGCAATTAGGATTACAGGGTGCATCAGTTAGTGCATTGTCCTGGATACTGTACTGATGTGTTTTGTTCTGAGGCTGGAAATGTTCCTTATTGCTTTGGTTTAGAAACAAGGACAGGTTAAAATTCTGTGTCAATTTCACCAAGACAGTTGAACAGATTGGCTGAAGTCAATAGAATTAAATGATTTTCTAACATCTGGAAGCCCTGATGTTTTCCTCAAAATAGTAGAATGTTACTTGCATATTGCAAAGTTAGCAAAAATCCATTGCAATTGTTTGTTTTCCTTTCAGAGAAAATGAAAAAAACCTTATCAAGTTAGTCTATAGAGATAATTCAAACTAAACCAGGGATATGTGAACACTATAGTAATTACATGAAGTATAAGTGTCTGGTCTTTCTTTCTACAGTGTTTCGCTACAACACAGATGTCCAACAGACCTGTGCTAACAACCGCCACCAGTGCTCTGTTCATGCCATTTGCAAAGATTATCCCAATGGATTTTGTTGCAGTTGTATTGCTGGTTACAAAGGAAATGGTAGACAGTGCATAGCAGAAGGTAACATTTATGAAAATGAGGTACATAAGCAACAATTACACATGGCATTCTTGAATGGGGTGACCTGTTTTCAACACAAAAAAAGATGTGGTTACATACATTTCAAAGGATTTATCACTGAGATGTATTGAAAGATATCCTAGGGATTGAGCTATGCTTTCTAAAATGGTGTCATTTTTTGAATGAAGCAAAGTATTTTTTCTAGAAAGTCATGTTAAAATGCCTAATGCATGTAATTGAGTGCCTAAAATAAACTCTTCTGTAACTGGCACAATTTAATAGCATAATATCCAGTGGTTTGGGTTTTGGTTTTTTTTGTTTTGTTTTGTTTTGTTTTTGCTAGAATTAGTCATGAAGGTCCAATGTATTATAATCTGATATAGTCCTTGCTCTAGACATGGACAGTTCAAAAAAGGTGAACAAATATACTTTGATTGTTAAACTAAAGACCATGGCTCCTCTTTGTCTGACTCTTAAACTTCTTCACTTATGCGCTAATCTGCCAGATTTTTGCTAGACACCCATTTAAACTTTGTTCCTGTGTAAGATCCATAAAGGAATTCCTTATGTATACAGTTGTAATCCACATAGTGACATGACTCACAGTATAGATGCATTTCAATAACCAAAATAGCTGACTGTAGACTTTGTGCTTTATAAGGCAGGAAAGCAAAAGCTACTATTTAACTTTCAGTTCATGAAACTGAGTTTTCCAGAGAAAGAGAAGGATGTGGTGATAATGGAATTTGAATGTAGGAAATTATATACAGAAGAAAACTAACAATTCAGAGTAGCTACTTCTGTAAAACACCAACAGTCTTTGAAATGGTCAATAGTTTTGACTGTTGAGTCAAAAAATAGAATAGATTAGAATACTAGGTCAATTATTCTAATATCTAATGGTGTTAGCCTTCCTATAGGGGATGAACAGATTTACATTCATTAGGTATTGATACGAAGTGTGATCTTCAAACTAAGTTTCTGTATACCACTTACTGTGAGAGATACTGTAGCAGCATTATGGAGTTATCCTTGCAGACAAAACTGTTAATGAGGATAGAGGGCATTTCTTATGGCAATTTTGGCCACTTAGTCATCTGTATAATGATCACAGATACACATGGGCACATATGTACATGCATAAGCAAATTAACACACTATGGTCAGTTTCCTGTTTGAATTTTGTACATGTTTGCTTGTCTTTTATTTCAACACTCATATCTTTGAACATAGTGAACACTCTGAACATGTTCCTTAGAGAGTATGTGAGAACTGTCATTTTGTTCTGATGGATTATATTGATTTGCCAGGTTCCCCTCAGAGAGTCAACGGGAAGGTCAAAGGAAGAATCTTTGTAGGAAATAACCCCGTTCCAATTATATTTGAGAACACTGATCTCCACTCCTATGTTGTGATGAACCAAGGGCGTGCCTACACTGCTATCAGCACAATCCCAGAGACTTTGGGGTATTCTTTGCTGCCTCTTGCCTCTATTGGAGGTATCATAGGATGGATGTTTGCTGTGGAACAGCAAGGATATAAAAATGGATTCAGCATTACTGGTAACTTCTAAATTAAAATAATGTTCAAAAAACTGTGCTATGCTTTCCTCTGTCTTGAGAGAAATGTGTATTTAGAAGCAATATAGGATGAAAACATGTTCATTCTGAGCTGCAAATGGATTTTTTTTTTAATCAAACCTCACAAGTTTTCTTGTTCAGAGTGTATAGATATTGAGCTTTTTAATTTACCATTGATGCACAAGCACATAAGCCTTTTGGAAAGAAGAATGTCTTTTCCAGTTCCTTTGCAAGAAAGGCATTATTAAAAAGCATCTGATTTTTGGTACTAGAGTTTACAGAGCTACTGAAGAAAGCTGCCCCTACATCTGTAAGAGGTCCCACATATTAATTGCCTGATTGTACCAACAGAGCAAAAAATAAATGAATATCTGACCTTCTGAAGGTCTGAAATTCTTAACAGAAGCAATTGCTTTATGAGATGCAAGTGATTCAGTTAACATATTGGAGGGAAACCCCAGTTCACAATTACAGCTTTTTGTAAGAGATTGAGGCCAAATCTGGTTGTTTATGTATCTGCATTCAAGCTGTAGATCCAATTAGTTCGATAAAAACATGTGTTTCTTCCTAAAATTTTATCCTTTACAGGCCTGTACTATGAATTTAGCTGCACAAAACCTTTTATTTGGGTGGTTTCTTGGATTTGGTATGTTTTAAGTTTATTCTGGAATGTACAACATATATTTCACTTGGTTTTGATTTGGAAACAGATGTACAGGATTTCATTTTATTTTATTTTTTTTTAACTCACTGTATTCCCAATGGAGGTTGTCTCTTTGCCATTTCACTGGTAGGATAAGACCTACTGTTAATAGTTTTGTTGGATTTTTTTAGATTATTTTTTTTTTAATTTAAAAAATCCCAAACCCTGCTTCTTCAGGCTTACTTGCAATTCAGTGTGTTCAGTGCTTAAGAAAGGAGTTTCCATGCAGCATCCAATGATATTCAGTATACCTCTGACAGTTGTTTCCGTAGAAACCCAAAACATTAGCAATTATGCTGCATTGAAGCTTGCAGAAAATACTGATTTATATTTTATCTACTAGAAGCAATACTTTGAATAGAAAGTATTGCTTTGATTTGTCATATGCTTCAGAATATGGTATTAAATGGTTTAACTAATACCATTTGTTTAGGTGGCGAGTTTACACGGCAAACTGAAGTAACTTTTCTTGGCAACAATGAGAAGCTGGTTATCAAGCAGAAATTCAGCGGAATTGATGAGCATGGTCACCTGACCATCAGCACAGAGATGGAGGGCAGAATACCTGAGATCCCCTCTGGCGCATCAGTCCATATAGAACCATACACTGAACTCTATCACACTTCTAGTTCTGGTAAGGATCCCTAGAAATGAAATGATAAGAAAGTAAACATTCGTAAAGTGAGACAATGTGAAAAACATTATTTTATTCCCTTCTTAGCAAGTGTACTTAGAACCCTTTGATTTACAGAAGGTTGATTTTTGCCTCTTAGGAACAGGTCCCAAAAGATTTTTTTGTGTAGGGCAATGCAAATATTTCTAATATTTTTATTGAAAAAATATTTAGCTTTCTATGCAAAACACTCCGGATTTCCGTTTTTGTTGGCTTTATTTTTACATTGCTCATGGCATTGCTCATTGCTCATGGCAGTTTTACAAGTTGCAAAGCTTTTTATAGGGTCCACAACAATTCAGTAGGAGCTGTATAGGTGTATACCTTTTTGTGGTAATGTCATTAAGTGGGATTTGGTCTTGTCTGAGACTGTGCAAACCAATTATTTACCAGTATGTATCATGTAAACTACATTGCAATAACTGTGCCTTGTGGTAGTGATATGCATTTGTCAGTATTATTTGAGCGGAATTTGAACAACTGACCAGAAAATTAGGAGCCTCTCTCTCTTTTCTTATCCCAGACTCTGAGATTTGCTAAGAGAGCCATTCTTCATTTCATCATTTACAGGGAAATCTCCCTTCTTTTGCTTTCTTTTCCCTGGATAAAATTGTGGGTATTTCAACACATGAAAACCAAAGTGAGGTTGAGGTGTTGACAGCTGGTCTGGCTAGCCAGCAGCAAAGAGCAATAAAGAGAAAGCAATCTGTGGAATGCCCAGGAATGGCGGAGTGTTAAGGAGCTTTTCTGTTGGTGGGAGGATCCACAAGCCCAAATTTGCTTTGAAGAGTTTTGATAACAATTTTTCACAATATAGAAAACTATTGTGAAGCATTCAAGAGCTCTCAGACATGCATCTTCTTCAGGTCTGTGTTGAAATCCAAGGCCAGTATCCTACAATGAACTAGAAGTGGGTGTAATTTAGTGCTGGTGAGATGGCTCTTGTCCTTCGCTTATAGATCCATTATGTAAATTCACCTAAAAAAACCTCTGAGTTTCCCAAGTTGAATTTTTCTTCCTTTACCTGGCAACCCACAAAGTAATGTTAAGTTTTTGAAAGGCCAAGATAAATTATATGACTCATTCATCAAAGCTGTGATACCCAAGAACAGAGTAAGCCTGGCCAAGTGCCTACTGCTTTGTATGGAAATACATCCACTTTCATAGCTTCTTGACTTTGAAAATCAGGTTTATACTGCTCAGCCTCGATCCCAAGTCTACAGATAGCATTTGGCAGAGTATTTTTGCTCTCTGGTCTGATCAGTGGTTTTGTTGCCATGTTACAGTGATCACTTCATCATCCACGAGGGAGTACACAGTGACAGAGCCAGAAAGGGATGGGGTTGCTTCCACGTACACAGGGGCCTATCAGTGGCGACAGACCATCTCATTTGATGAATGCATTCATGATGACTCTCACCATGCTACTTCTGCTACTCAGCAGCTCTCAGTGGATGGTGTATTTGTCTTGTATAACAGAGATGAGCAGATTCTGCGATACGCTATGAGTAATTCCATTGGACCAATCAGTGGTATGTATGAATCGGAAATCTTCTCTTTTGTGAGTAAGTAAGAGCAGGCTTCTATTTTATTTTAGCCTGCATTAGTCGGGTATTAATGAGTTGAATTCATTTGTTGCATTAGTCAGTAGAAGTCCAGGTCCATCAATTAAGATGAAAAATGGGACTACTGAACGTTTGTATTTTTACTCGGAGAAGAGTATTTAATTGATTATCTCCTCTTGAAATTCAGTGGAGTTTGTGTCTGATTGCTTGAAATAATTTCAACATGCCACGTTGATTCTACTGCTGCTCAAACACATCGAGTGTATAGTTTATTTAATTTATAGTTCCTCTATTAATGATTTTTCTTTTGTATTGTCAGAGCAAAGGGCAAAACAGTGAAATAAAATTTGCATTGAAACAGCTTGTTTCTGTAATTTATCTTGAAACATGGCACTATCTTGGAAAGCAGGCAGCCTATGAAGTGCATTTTTTGTTTGAGGTGTTCAAGTTTGTTTGCACTAAAATCAGAAAAAAAGCAATTTGAAAATGAACACCAGATGAGTACAAGAAAAGACTTCACTTTTGTTGGTTACAAAATAAAGTTCTACTAATTAAAATTAATAAACCAGGCTGTTAAGAATCACATTTTGGGTCTAGTGGCAGTGACTGGAAGATGCATTATCTTTGCCAGTCTTGCTTTTGAGACAGTTTTTTTTTTGGCTTCTCTATTTTTTAAGTCTTTAGTTCTTTGCACAAGTAACAAGGAATACAAGGTTCAATTGCAATGTCTGAGACTCATGTCCTGCATATCACCTGCAAGTTCTCTTCTTCCTGGTGCAAAAAGTATTCTCTTTCCTTGTTTCATGTGCTCTACAAGCAACCTCCTTCAGGGCTTTAGCTGAGTTCTATGACTTGAGTAGAGCTGTCATGGTTAAATACGGTCTCTCTTCTCAGATGGTTCTGCTGACATTAACCGGAATCCTTGCTACACTGGTACCCATAACTGTGACACCAATGCAATCTGTCGTCCTGGAACTGGAAATCGTTTCTTCTGTGAATGTTCAATTGGCTTCCGTGGAGATGGAAGCGTTTGTTATGGTAACAGAAAACTTTGATTACAAAATGACAGCTGATGTAGAATTTCTTCTGCATGGGTGTATTGACCCCCAGGACTAGCCATTCCAGCAAAGTGAACTGTCCTGAGAGGCTGTTCTGCGGAAAGTGACATGGTTAATGGTGGATTTGGCAGTCTAGGGTAAAGGTTGGACTTGCTGATCTTTTCCAACCTACTTGATTCTATGATTCTAAGACAGGTTAGAGGGATGCTGGGGTACCTGGCATATCTCAGTAATCAAAGCATGCATTTGACTGTCTTCAAGGGTCAAACTTGGGCATGTTTTTCTAGCTTGCAAAGCATCTTTTCTACCCAGCTTGTCTTTTCATAAAACCTGTAGGAACTAAGCTGTGAGACATTTACTGCAAGTTCTGGTTAAAATGAGTCAACCAGGTTACAAGCTCTTGAGGAAGATAGGGAATGGCATACACACAAATATGTGGAACTGACTGAAACGATATCTTTCAAGATCTGCTTTGAAAATCATTTTTCTTGAAGAAGACTTTCATTTCCCAGCTCTGTGTTCTTAATGTATTTGGGTTTTGTTTTATAATCAAGTCATAGCACAAATACTTGTTTTCAAGAGGTGGAATTGTGTATTAATTATTAACTAACAGGGATGATGCATTTTTTATTAACTGAGTTGTTTCGGGGGGGTTGGGTGTTTGTTTGTTTAATAAGACCCCTCAAACCACAACCCTCCCTCCAATCCTTAAATCAGCTTGCAAATGAAAATGCCAGCATCACATTGTCCTTCCCAGTCCTCTGATGCTGTGAGCTGAGCAGCAGTGGATTAGAAATGTATGTGGGTAATGAAAGGGGAAGTCTTTCCTGAAGTTCACATTCCCACAGTAGTCATCACTGCTTTGGATCACCTTGTAGGTTGCATTTTTATTTTTTTTTTTTTCTCAGTGGTTCCTCCTTCCTCTCAGATTTCCTGACCTCTTCTGTGGTTTTGTTTTATTTTTGTGGTTTTGTTTTGCGGTTAGGTGGGGGTTTTTGGTTTGTTTTGGGTTGGTTTTTTTGGTTGTTTTTTTTTTTTTAGATTATCTGAAGACACAGTTTTCTGAAAACTTACTTTCAGGTTACTAATATCTTTTAAGAGGTATGGCCTATCAAAGATGTGGTTTAAATATGCAGGTCTGCTATTATTGCACAGTTTCTGTTTTTCTGGCATCAGTATTAAATGCATCATTGTAATAACTGGAATCCTTATAACGTTCTAGATGTTGATGAATGTTCAGAGCAACCAGCTCTATGTGGCAGCAATGCAGTCTGCAACAACCAGCCGGGAACCTACCGCTGTGAGTGTGTTGAAGGATACCAGTTTGCAGCCGATGGGCGGACTTGTGTTGGTGAGTTTCACAGTTCTTAAAAGCACTGCCCACTGGCTTTTGGGCTGTCACTTATTTCCCACGGACAGAAAACAACTTCAGGGATCTGCGCTGACTTTTAATGTGGGTTGAATTTAGGAGCTCATGCTGCAGTTAGTGGTTATAATCCATTAGGTAGCTGAAGAAGTTGCCTCAAGTACTTTGTTTTCATCTCGTAGAAATTCCCCGTTCCAAATGTTTCCACATAGAAAGTGGAAATTATTAAATGCTTCTGTCCTTTCTGTATCATTAGCTGCAGATTTCAGATGGAAGTAAAATCCAAATTTGTAAAAGCAAAAAAATTAAAGTGAGCAGTTATTAATTTGTTGGTATTTCGCAGCATCACACTTTCAGGATGAGTTAGGGCTTTTTCTGCATTTTCTGTAGTGTTGCACTTTGGCTTTTGGGGACTTTGTTTTTTTGGTGGGGGAGCTTTTTTTGTTTGGTGTTTTTTTCTTTATGTAGTGCAGAATTAGACTTAACAGATTAGATTTTAGTTACAGATTCACCCCTTGGACAAGGCAGTACACAGGTCTTGAGTGTACACTCATTCAAGCGTGAGTGTGTCTTGGCTATTGCAGGCTTATTCTGAAGTGATATTTAACCATGCTGGAAAGAAATTATAGCTATAGATCATTTCACTGTTAAAATCCTTATGATTTGGAGGAAATCTAGCTGATCTGTCGATGGGCCATTAAAACTTTAGTAGTTTTCACTGAATTAGTTATTTTTATTTAATTAAAAACCATTTCTTCTAGGGGGAGCCTGAGTTAATCTGTACTTGCTGGACTAAGGTTGTCCTAGCAAGGGATATTTTTTCCTGTTTGCTCTGTTTTTCACTGAAATTGTACTAATTCTGCCCAGGACACTGGTAGAATTGCAAGATGATTATGTGGTGTGTATATTGAAAGTGAATTTTCCATATAGAAAGAAAAAACATAAGCTTTACCTCTGGTGACATTAAGCTGATTCATTTCAGTGTCACTTATCAAAATGCAAATATCAAAAGCAAAATAAAAAATAAGGTACAAATGGCAGCTAGAAGAGGGGTAATGACTCTCCTAGAGCTTCAACTGTCAGGATAGGATATAGATTAGATTTCTTTCGTTTTTTGTTAGAATTTTTGTCTTTGTTTGCAACCTGACAGTAATTCTGTACTGACAAAGCCTATACACACTCTTCCAGTACCATTGGACCAGTTCCTGTTTTATTTGGAAATAACTGGTAATAGCCAAGGATAACATTTGCTTCTGTTGTGACTGATTTGTGGTGGAAGCCTGGTTACTCTCTGATAAGCTAATGCATTCAGGTCTTTCCTTATTATAGCCAAGAGTATTCTTCAGCTAAGACTGAGGAGCCTTCATCTTTTAGCAGAAAGTTGCATTGGTTCCCTTAAAGTGTGACTTTACATGCTGTATATCACATCCCATCACAAGCCCCATTTCTCTACTCCAGTAACAATTACCATTCACATCTGTTCACAGTGCACCCAAGTTTCCCCTTTGTTGCACAACAGTTGGAAAAAGCAACTTATTCTGCCAGGATGCTGGAAGGGATAGGGTGAGATGTGTAAGGGCAACTTTATGTTCTTTCCTTTATGTCTACCACTGCACTTTCGTCACTCGGACCTGAAAGGGAGCATTCTTCTCTTCAGCTGTGACCATGCTGTCTTCATTCTGCCACTTTCTCATGAAGTTAAAGTGTCACACTTCTAAAAAGTACTAGGTAATTCTTTGCTCAGCTTGAAGGACTTCAGTTTGATCCTTTCCTTCAATCAAAACCAAACTTTGTGTCAGTAAGACTGAAGAGAAGCAAGATGAGCTCTCGTTTCCCAATAGACTGAAAATAAATGTCATGGTAATCTTGTTCCTCTTTCTACAGGGGAGGATTTTATAACCCACAGCCAACTTGAACCCTGGAAGGGGCAACAGTTAACATCTTTGTGCTTTTGCAGGTTGCTTTGGGATACCAGCTCCGATTCAGCTTTTCTGGTACTGCAGCTTTTTCATGCCAGCTGTGAGACTTGCTGGATATCTTTAGAAGAGCTGTAAATAAATCCTATTCTCCTATTTGTAGGCTGAGGAATAGGAAGATTTGGACACTCCCTTTGAGCTCCAACTCTCAGTCATGCATTTATAGTGCAGTTCTGAATAGATTATTTTGTAATCTAAAGCTTCGTCAAACAGAGATATAAATGATTCTAACAATGATGTAATCTCCTCCAGAGAAATGGAAAACACGACTGTTTTCAGATCTGGCTCTGATGGTAGATTTTTGTTTCCCTGCTGATAATGTGGTAGTTCACATGTGCATACTGTGATGAAAGGAACATTGTAGAGTCTTGTCTCGGTCCCCTGTCAACTCCTTGTAAGAACTGTGTAAAGAAAGCCTTACCGGATTCTCTGTCACAGCCACTGGAAGTCTATTCCTAAATGCATTGCAAACTCACCTGTTTCTGGGCCCCACTTTTCATAGTATTTTGCCTCCTCCTATTTTAGATACTATGGTTTCCTTTCCTCTTCTTTGACATAACAGGTAAGCATAGGCAGGGCTCCAGTGACTACCTGAGATAATTTGTGTGTAAAGCACTGCAATACCTTCAAAGTCACTGTTGTCAATGATTAGAAAGTTCTGGAAAGCTGCAGGACTGGTCCCAGCTTCCACTGTTGGTCAAAAATCTCTCCAACAGTTGACAAATGTGTTTATCTGCTATTGAGTGAGTCACAGCTGTTGCCAAGTGATGACAGCCCTTGGTCAGTGCTAGATGAGCATAGTGGGATATCTAGTAATTCACAGTACAGTGAACAGGCCACTGTAGCTGACACGTGAGGTATGTCTGTGAGATGCCCTACATTTCTTTATTCAGGACCTCTTTTTCTAAACAAAACTGTCAGGGTTATTAGGATCTGTTACTATGGTAGCCTTTCTGCCCTGTTCAATATTAACAAATATCTGTGAGGTGCTGAGGACATTTGGTTCCTTGTAAAATATTCACAAGACGATTTAACACCAGTGAAAGAGGAGATCTTGGCAAAAAAACAAACCAAAACCAATCCCCAAAACAGCCCACTTAGTTTCCCTTGTTTTCTTTCTCTTCTGTATGCTTTCACAGCTGGTCTTGTCTCCCTATAAACTTAGAGGCAGCTTTAGACTTCACAGAGGGAAATTCAAATTTTCATCTCCTCTCTTTATATCTAACCTGCAGCTGTTGAATATGCCATAAACCATTGCCAGACAGGCACACACGACTGTGACATTCCTCAGCGCGCCCAGTGTGTGTACACCGGTGGGTCTGCCTACATCTGCACGTGCCTCCCTGGCTTCTCCGGAGATGGGCGAGCCTGTGAGGGTGGGTAACACCATTTGTGGGGGGGGTTTATACTCCTTATTGCACAACTTGGCTGGTTATTGTAATGCCCTATAGTTACTTGGGATTTAAAGTAGGAAATTTACAGTTTAAGTCCTTCAGGTAGGCACTGCATTAAGCTTTTATCCTTTCCTCCTCTCGCTTTTGAGTTCACTATTCAGTATTTCAGCTAAAGAAAGTCCAAAATGAGTTAAATGCAGAAATTGCAGTATTGCAGTTAGCAAACCAGATATTAATCTGATGGAACTGTTTGCACTGTATTGGTGTATATGAATGAGGTAGTGGCACATGATGCTCAAGCTATGTAAAAAAAAAAATACTATATTCTGTTTCACATCAATTGGAGTGCAGTAGAGGAGCAGCTTCACCTAACTATGGGTTGGAAATATTGCTGGCCAAATCCCACTTATCTTGCTGTGTTAAGTCTTTTCCTTGAGAAACACGGGCATGTATGTCTAAAGTACTATGTGAGTTAATGCTAGCTATCCATCAGAACAGCAAAGTGCACAGATTTGCTGAGAGACAGAACCTAAAATTCGTGCATGCTTTTCTTTTCCCCTTATTTGCATTTCTGTATAGACTTTCTTTCACCGAACTGTCTCTTGACTCTAATCAGATATCCTAAAATAGGAGCCTGAAAATAATATGGCAGGTTTGCACTTCAGTTTGTGGCTCTGATTTGCCCGTAAGGAGGAACAGTTACCTGAGATTGAACTTTTCTTTTACAGATATAGATGAATGTCAACAGGGCCGCTGTCATCCAGATGCTTTCTGCTACAACACTCCTGGGTCCTTCAGCTGCCACTGTAAGGCAGGTTATCGTGGGGATGGTTTCCGATGTGTGTTAGGAGGTAAAATTTTACAGTTCTTGAAAGTTGGATGGGAAATACACTTTGGGAATTGGAGGATCTTTGTTAATTTAGTTCGTCTCTGGAACAAATTTTATATTGTCTTATTGGGGTTGTTTCTCAAGTGTTTCAATTTTTTAACTTCACTAAGCTTGTGTCAAAATCTGTATCTTGACTGTTATCACTTTTCCATTATATCCTGTTCAATGTGCTGTTTCATGCTGTGTTTGTTCTATGCTCAGCAGTTCTCAGCAGCCCCAAGCTGATACTATCTTTTGAAGTTCCCTTGCATAAAGGTTTGATCACAGATTGATTTGGTTTGCATACACAGTAGTCACTTACCATAAAATATCTGGAACTATTGGCACTGTAAATGAAAAGCAACAATTCCAGAAGAAAAGTGAAGGACGAGACCAAGCTACTGTTGTCTGCAGTGGGATCTAGATGCCAACAGGCCACATATAGCCAGCCAGAGTCCAAAAAGAATGGTACTTAGTTGTTTCTCTGTTTACCCAGTTTGTTCTATATTTAGCAGAAAGCTCTTCACCCTCTCACACTTTCGTTCATGAGTTGTACTTTGGGCCTTGAAGTATAAAACTCCTGGTCCTGAAGGTATGCTTAAAAAAAGAAAGTAAGGAACACCAAAGCACAAAGTAACATCGTTCAGGTTGCTTTAATTAAAAAGCATGGCAAGCCCATGGGACAGCACTAAGGTTTTGCAGAATGGTGAATGCTTTCATCGCTGTTTTGCAGTATTTAATTCTGAAGCTCTAGCTTTTGCCACTTTGTCAGTTCTTCAGTATTATGTTTAACTAGCTTTTCATGCATGAATGCCCATGTGTATTTTCATTTTAATGCCAGATGAAGAACTACTTAGTGTTTCTGACCTGTGTCAAAATATTTAGCTATCTAACCAGCTGATAAAAGCAGGATTATTCCTCCTAGAGGAGAAACTTAATGTGAATAACTTGAAGCAATATCAAACCTTAAAGCTTCCAGTTCTTCAGGTAGAATTGTAGAGGCAGAAATAGTGCTTTCATGGCTGGCACATCCCCTTTGTAGCTGAGATGGGTGGTTTGGTAGGCTGATACTTGAATTCAACCGATTCACTTTATTACCAGGACACGATTTTTTCTAAGTATATATGATAGCATACTTTAGTGGGGTTTTTTTTGTTTGTTGTTGTTAAGAACACCACCTTTTCACATGCAGTGGTTAGTGCACCTACTAAACTGTCAAACACAGTGTACTATTTTGTAGTAGCTTTATGTTATTTTTTGCCCTTATCCTGTATGCTTTTTTACTTTCTATACATAATACAATTATATCTTGAATGGGTTTTTTTTCATGTCACAGCTGTAATGATATTAGCAAAATATTTTGGGGAGTTTTGTTGTATCTACTGTTTTAGAGGGTGGGGATCTGCCAGGTTTTGTTAGTGTTCATATATGCCTCTCTGATTTTCATTTTGTTTTAATGCTCTTTTGTACTACTAGTAGAAGACATGCTTTAGAATCACTTCTGTAATTTGGCCTTTCTCATGAAAGGCACTGAGCAGAAAAAATCTGTAGATTAAAAAGTCTTACTTTTGCTGAATTCTGACTGAAGTTGAGAGTAGCTGTATTGCTCTGCTAGTCTGTAGCAATGGCAGTGTTTGCAACAAACTAGGCTACTGCTCCCCTTCTTAGAGAGTTAATAGAACAATAGCTGCCCTTGGGATATCATTTGCTGCTGAAGCTTTAGTACTTCTTAAATGGATATATCCAACAGTTAATAATTGCCAGGAGATAGAATCAAAATGCACTTTCTGAAGCCTAGCAAAAAGCATCTTAGTTTACTTTAGCACCCAATTTGTAAAGTAGGTTGCTTCAGAATGGAGACTCCAGATGAGGCTGTATTGTATTCAGTCGTAATTAGAGACCCTTTTTTCACCTTTTTGCCCACTAAGGTTTTGATCTAATTAGTCTCAGTCAAGTCATTGAAGTCTTTCCTGGTTGTTAATAGCATGGAAAGTTTCATTCATCTAAATACTCAGTTATTTTTGCAGTACCCTTTTCCAATCCACATGTACAATTGCTTGCTTATTTGATGTCTTTATTATTATATGAAATCTACTGTTGAATCTTACCACTGCTGAACAGCAACTCTTGAGACAAACAGACTAACAAGTAAAATGAATTTGAATCATGCACAAGAGAAGTCTGTCGGAGTGAGCCAGTAGGTTAATGAAAGAGTTAATGACGTTGGAATGTCCCACTGCTCACAGCTATTAAGAAAGTCTGTACTTCATTATTTCCTCACGCTTCATTTTTCCATTTCAAAAAACCAGATGTCTGAGGGTTTCTACTCCTGCAGACCCCAGACACTGTTTACTAAACAGAAACAAATCTAGATTCTTGGAACTAGGAGTCTGATTGTTGTGTCCTTTGCTGGTCCTCTGTATGCAATCCATTTCACATGAGAAATGCACTTACTAGGGCAATGTTCTAAGTGAAAGATTACAAAGGAAAAATGAAGGGACAAAACCAAGTCTGTTGAATTTTTTCCTCCTTTTTTTTTTTTTTTTTTTAGGGTGAAGTCTTGGAACAGCAATTAAATATGTCCAATATAACTCATTGTGATATGTGGGGAATAAAGTAATCCACATAGGAAATTACAAAGTACTCTCTGACTACCTACTGATTCTGGACACAGTTTTAAATGACTTCTGTCTTTAGCTGGTGAATGAATGAAAACCTGTTTGAGTAGCTATATTGGACCTTTAAAAATTTCTGGATGCTGTTGCAGAATTTAGTTGAATTTGGTTTAGGGTATCAGACTAAAATCCACTGCAAAATGGCAGATGTCCCATATATCTCTGTTTTTCATCTTGTTTCCTTAGCCTCCCTCTTTTTCAGAAAAGTCCATAAATAATTTTCTGCAGTGCTGCTGCAAGAGCTTTCCTTTACGACCAAAAAAGATTTTGAGTACTTCTATAGGGCTTTAGCTTGTTGAGTTGGTTTTTTTTTTCCCCTCATTCTGTTTGTTTCTTCATTTACCTGAGAAGTGTGTACATGTTTGGTTTTCATCTGGCTCACTTTGCATATCCATGCTATTTCCATTTCACTTTTTTCAAGTTCCATGAAATACTTCCATTACTTTTAAATTCCAGATTGCTGCTAGTAATGTATGAAGCAAGTGGATGCACCCTTCTACATATCTAATGACTTGTGTGTATTGTGGTCCATGGAACATAAATTCTTCATCAAGCTGTTGATCTCTGTTCCACGCTATAGTTTCTCTCTTAAGAGCTCTTTTCTGTACACTGGTTCAGTTTTTCATTTTCTTTTTGAACTGTGGGTACCAGAGAATCATCTCCTGAATCCCACACTGCTTCTCTATACCTGTGTGGTGTTCCCTGTGGATATGCTGAATTCTTATTTATACCCCCTCACAATCCCTACAGCACCAAGCTGGGTGTTGTCAGCTTATCTGCTTGCATTTATCTGCTGATAGCTCTTTTTGGTTGTGATTTCCAAGAGGAGCCTATCTTTAGAGGATGGACTACGCACTGTATTCTAAGAAGTGTAACTTTCCATTTGGCTGTGTAAATCTACTGGTTTATTTTCATAAGCTCAATTTACCTAGTGATGAGGTCCTGCTGTGATGTATGTTGCCTATTCATCTTCCACAAATGATGGAATCCTGATGAGGGAATTAAATTTCTTGATAAGGAAATTTAAAACCAATGCTAAGGTAATGTGGGAACTTACTAGAAATAGCACTACTTCATGACATCTGTCCACTGTCTCAGGAGATTTGTCAGTTTTTAATCGTGTATCAAATCAAGGTAGCCCACACCATTGTGCTTTGTCTTGAAAATGATACTGTCCTGTGGGCGTAAGTAGAGTCCCATAGAGAAACACAAAGCTATTGAATCAGTGTGTTACCTTCATCAGCCAAGCATCAACTGCATCGAGAGTGGGAATGGATTTTTACCCGATTTTTTAACAACTAATCAGTAATGTTGAAACTTAGATACTGAAAAACATTGCAACTTGGTCCTGCTGTTCATAAAAGGCTGTTGCCACCACTACTTTATTGCATCACTAAAGATTACCCAGGTCTTGCTCTTACTGTTTGTTTCACCTCTGGCAGTATGAACTAACCCTAGTGTATACCATTTTTCTTATCATTGACATGATCATTTGACTTGGCTTTCCAGTGTGGGTTTCAAGAGTGGTAAGAACCTCTGAAAACCAGGGCTGGTAACCCATAGGTATGGAGTCTTGAAATAGTCATGACTTGGTTTCCATTTGTTATAATCAGGTGTAGTAGAAGATCTAACAGCACTGTTACACCTGGTGGGTGTTAATTTGCTCTTAGCTCTACCTGCTGTAGTTAATGGAAATTTTTTTCATGCCAATCAGAAGATCAGAGAACTGTCCTCCTGTTAATTGTTCTGTATCTTTGAAGTCTTGACTGGATGAAATATTGCTGTATTTATATTAAAGGAAGACCAGTAAGAAACCTCAATTAGGCTACTGTACTAAAGGAAAGGAAAGTTACTAACTAAAAGGGTTGTGTCTAGAAAGCTGGCTTACAAAGTAGCCTTGCCCTTGTACTACCTAAAAATGTGCCAATTCTTGTTAGATGTTTTGTCTAACTTGTGCTGTTAGCTCATCAAGGCAGGGAATGTGCTTTATTTATTGTGTCAATCTCATCTTTCCAACTCTGTCATAGCTAGCCTCATTTCAGATAGTTAATCAGTGGAATTTAAATCTCTCAGAATTGTAGCATCTTCTCTTAAGCACACTGAGTAAAATGTATTGACTGTATAAGCAGATTATTTATCCCAACCAGCTGTCATTTGTATCTAAGATTATTGTGCCTTTATTGCTACATAGCCTACAACACTGGACTGGGATTCAGTTTGCTTTTCTTCAGGTGCCTCTAAACTGTAAGCATAGTAATTCTGCTCATGATTCAGAGATAAGGAGAGAAAAAAAATACATGATGGATTCCAAGTGCCTGTTTTGGACTGTTATAACTAGTTTAGGAACTTGTTTTGGTTTATAAATTTTAATATTGGGTAAAATCATGTTAGTTGAAAGGAGTTTAATATTGAAGGACAGGTTAAAATCATGGAGTCACCACAGATAAATAAAACCAGTACTACTACGTTCCTTTCCAGAATATTTCTTTAACATGGATTACTTATCATGCTTGATACTGTTAAAAAAGTTACAGCAAATATAAGACACTTTCAGGAGCACAGAAGCAGTAAAACACAGAAGTTATCCCTAAAAGTGGGTGGCAATAGTGTATTTGACATCTCTTTATGCAACTGAAAAATCAGTGTTGATGGGATTTTTTTTTTTTAGAAAGAACAAATCATATTCTCTGCCTTTTAGAAGCTGAGTACTAATTTTGAAAATCATTTTGCTTGACTAGTCTCTCGACTTCAGTGGGGCTAATTGCACAAGCAGGCCATTTGTGAGCTCCATCTTGATCGTTGTAAGATAGGTACTCTACAAAAATTCCATTGGTATTCCTGTATAAAATCTGCAGATATAAATATGAACATTGTCTTGATATTAAAATGTACACTGGTATTTCGAGTTACCGATTATACTAATATATTTTATGTATTACAGCTGGGTCCTGCCTGGGTGTATACACACTCCTTTGTGTAATTCATATGTGCTAACTCATTTTTATAAAGTTGAATTAGTCTGTGGATTAAAATAAAAGTAAGATGTTGGGCATTCCCTAATTCTGGGAGTTTCAGATGGGAAGGGAAAACAACCAGCTTCTACATTTGTTTTTATATCCCACTGAGAAGGAGCTCATAATGTCTCTCAAAGATGACATGAATGCAATCAAGATTTGTTCTGCAATGAACGAACGTAGGGTTTGCCAACATTCTGTATTCCCCCTGCTTTCTCTTGCGAGCAGTGCATATGATTAGAGCTTAAAAAAAAATACCCAAAACCTATCACAAAATTATCTGATTACTAGAATCCACATTTTTTACCTGTATACTGCATAGTGCACTGGATACATGCAAACAAAATTTGAGATAGAGGCTTTCCTTCAGGCTCTGGTTTTGTAGGTTGATTCAAGGCTCTCCACCACCCACATTAGAGCTGATGCCAAGTATTTCAGTTGTTTAGAGTGAGCTGTTCTCCAGACATTTATATTTTACTAATTGTGTCCAGGTGCATGAAACTTGTCCAAACCTTTTGCTTGCATAACTAGTTTAATACAAAAAAGAAGGATAGTTTTTCATTATTTGTGTGCTTTATACAACAACAGTCTGCGGGTGTGTGGGATTATCTTCACTCAGGGGGCTGGGTCTAGTCTGAGCCACACATAGCTAATGCTGTCCACCAGGCCATGTAAAAACAAGGAAGGAATAAATGGAAGTGTAATGTTAAAGCCTCTTTAGCAGGCAGTTTCTGGTAAGTATTTCTAACTGTCTGCGGAAATCACTGACAAGAGAAAGGCAATAATTAGAGCTCTTTCTCTCCCAATGCACAGAACTCTTCAGGGGTCTCAAGTGTAAGGTAAAACAAAGCCAGGTTTCTTTGTCAGAGAAAGAAAGATGTTATTTTTATTGTATTCTTTTAATTTATTATGTTGTTTGGTATCTAGAAGTATATATTGATCCAGATGACATTCCCTCTCACATAACAGATAATACCGTAAGATGTATATTTTAGTCCAGATTGTTTTGTAAAATTTAAACCAAAAGCACTGAATCCCTGAGTCTCCTGATAATCTGGGAAGTTAGTCTTTCCTCTGTAATCTCTACAATAATACATATGCATGTGGTGTAGCTGTTTTGCATATGTTTCTCTGTTTATGCAGTAGTATTCCTTTTTTCTGTGTAGCCTTACTAATGCTCTTTACTAGGGATTGGGTAATCTGTCCCTGCAGTTCCTTAAGTCCAAAAGTATCAAATGAGTGCTCAAACTTGATAACCAAACTCTAAAAAATCTAATATATATCAAAGCAATGAGGAGTTTCACTTCCTAGGTTCTGTAGAGGACTCAGCATCTGCCCCATGTTGTGGTTTTCTCTTGTGGCTCTGAAGGGAAACTTGACTTTTACATTACAAAAAATCCTTTATCCACTACACAGCCTGACTGATTAGTTACATTTTAAGGCCCATGGATAATCACCAAGTGAGTAGATGTAGGGTTCACAAGTCAGACAGAATGTTCTTGCTAATGTGCCTCAGGGAGAAAGACTGAGTTTTCCAGCTTCTGTTTATGACCCTTCAATGTAGGAAGCTACAGGGGGGCTGTTTGTTCTGTTTTAAACTAGACAGTGAAAAATAAAATGATGTAAGTTTTTAGGGCATATGAGTCACATTCACACAGGACAGACTTCTGGAAGGTGCGCTGAAGGCATATGCCTTCAGGCTTTGTAACAATGCCATGTTCATCCAGCAGTAAGAATACTTGCATCGTAGGTGGTCAGCGTACACTAACTGTTTATGGAATATAGTCATTACTTAAAATGGAAATATTCACTGGTCTTTTTCTTTTTTTTTTTTTCCTTCCTCACAGAAGTGGAAAAGACCAAATGCCAACATGAACGAGAAGTAGCTCTTGGAAGTGGAGGCACTTTCTTCCAGAGGGAGATGGGAGTTCGTCACTTCATTCCGCAGTGTGATGAACATGGGAATTACCTACCCACCCAGTGCCATTCTAGCAGTGGATATTGTTGGTGTGTAGATAGGTACGGAAATGAGATTGATGGCACCAGAAGTGGCCCAGGAGTTCGACCACCATGTAAGTGGCTGAAGCACTTTTTCCTTGTAGGTGTCTCTCCACCCAGGTGCACTGTCCCCAGATGTGGGGCTTAGTCATGCCCCTGAGAAATACAGCACTCACTTGGAGCAATGCAGATCTTTGCTGTCCCAGTGACAATATGCCTCATGCTGTAGCCATTCAGTAACTCCAGCATATGCTTTTCATTCAGGCAGGGCATCTGAACAACTGTGGTGAGCCTCTGGATAAAAATCTGGTTTTCTAACTTCTTCCTGCCTTGAAACTGTGAGGGGTCCTGTAGTTTCTGCCCTCTGGGAGATGTGGCAAATCTGAATGCATGGTAACTGACTTGCCTCAGGAAATTAAGAATGTTCCTTCCTACGTCTTCCTCACTTCAGCTGTGAAATGCATCCTTCTGTGAAAAAAGATAGGTCCTTCTAGACAGTTGAAGGAAAAGCAATTGCAGAGCTGAACATGAAAAGACCTATTATGTCAGTTGCCCCTTCTCTGTCAGCTAAGGGGAAAAATTTAGAAGCTTTCTGCATCTAATTATAGCTATTAGTGTCTGCTTATAGGACTGTTTCCTTCTGTGAAATCTGACTGTAATTGTGTCTCTGCAAATAACAAAGTTTGTTACGCTGTACAAGCTAATTTTATCCCTATCTGTTTCCTGCTCTATTAACAAGGTCTGAGCACAGCTGCTCCTCCTGTTGTTATTGGGCCCTCTGTTCGACCAGATACAGTACCTCTGCCACCAGGAACACACTTGCTCTTTGCCCAGAGTGGTAAAATTGAACATGTTCCATTAGAGGGAAACAATATGAAGAAAAATGGTGCAAAAGCACTCCTGCATATTCCAGTAAGTAACCTACTATACTAAATCTATGTATTTTAAGAAGATGTGTGACAAAGATGAGTGTTTTATCTATATAACTTGATAATTCAAGTTCCAAGCTCAGTTTTTACTCTTGATTAAAATTTCAGTATCCCATCACATTGTCACTGAAAATTCTCAATCTGACTAGTCAAAAGCCTAAAACTGAGCTGTAGAAAAAGTGCTTTGCCTTTAAAGAATAGCTCAGAAAACAAAAATCTGATATTTGTGATCTTGCATGCTTCCAACAGTTCATCTCATAAAGTCACTTCCATTTGCTTTCTGACTCTGATATCAAAGTTTAGGAGACTTACAAGACCAGTATGTGGAGAGGCCCTATTTTTCTCTCTCACTCCCTCAAGGTTTTTTCCTAAGTCTTGCTTTCTTCCTGTTTTTCAGTCAGCTCTCTGCACTTCTTGGCTACAGATATATATAGATTATTATTGTTTCTTTTTTGCTTTCTTCTCCATGTGCAGGCCCAATGGGTGGTAAATCCTTTTCCCACACTTCTTACTACTGTCTTAAGAATGTTTTTTTCCTTGAGAATGAATCCATGATTTCGAGGACCTATCTTTCCCATCACCTGTGACACAAGCCAACTCTCTCACTTCCAGTTTCATCACATTTATTTGTTTTGCGCAAAGCCTGGGATTTCTGTTTTCATTCCAGTGGTACTGTATTTATAACAGATAACAATACCAGGTAGAATACTGGCTGCTTTTTACAATGCTTGTGAATATGTGGTAGACCAAATACTGACTAAATTGCATAGATTCAGTTCATCAAATAGTACCACAAATTGTGCTGTGATGTAAGGGTAAAACCAAGCTTTTGTCTCTTGTCTAAAGGGCTGTTGCAGTAATGTAAAAATGAAGTAAAATAGCGTGCAAAATGGGTGGGTAAGGCTGATACAGAGACATGAGTCCTTATCAGACAGTCTCATTATTTACTTGATGTAGCTGAAGTATCTTCAGGAAAAGGCTTCCAAGAGATAAGGTGCAACTAACTCTTCCTTAGAACTTTCAATTATAATGAAACTTTCAGTCTCTGCTAACAGTGTTGTCTCTGTGTTGTCCCAGTGTTGTGTATTTGCAAAGTGACTGTGTTTTGCAGCATAGAGGTGTTTAGATTTTGTAACCTATGGCATTAACGTACGCAGAGTAAGAGCATCTGATTTAAGGAATTTTTTTTTATTTTTTTTTTTGGACCATCTTTCTAAGAAGTTGCAAGTTACAAAAGCAGCAAAAGTGACAGACCTGAGAATCCATATGAAATTATTTTTTTACCCTATTGCCTGGAGGAAAGAGTTTCAACTCTAAACTCAAACTCTAATCCTACCTTTTTCTGCCTGGAAAATTGCAGATATATACATGTATGTATGTTCCTTGTCTCTGAGCATATTCTTTCCAGCAAAATGATTTATGGAGCATTTAAGCTATTTTTGAATATTTATAACTAACTTTGTTAGAACTTTTTTGAGCCAAATGATGCTATGTATGTAGCGCTACTGAAATGCAGCCATAATGCATGGGTTGATGAATACCCAGAACACAAGTCAGATTTGATAGAAGTCCTTATTCCTTGTTGAAGGGAAAGAATGAGAGAAAAAAGAACATGAGGAATAACACAGTAAAATAACAACATGAACTTTCTTTAAATTGATATGCAGGTGAAGTTGTAGAAGTCAGACCAACTGTTCAGTAGTAATATCAACAATGGTGCTTTGAAATAAAATAATTGTAAGTGGTGTCTGCTAGTTAAAAGGGACTTGTAATTGAAAGTACAATGACTGTCCTCCTCATCTCCCACCTTTCCTCAAGGATTTGGGTTGGGTTTTTTTTCAGGCTTGAGACTTGGATCCTTAAGCTAGTGCTGCTGGCAAATAATTGTTTTTAGCGTAAGCTGACATAACTTGTTTGTTGACCAACAGGACAAAGTTGTTATTGGAGTTGCTTTTGATTGCACAGACAAGATGGTTTATTGGACAGACATCAGTGGCCCTTCAATCAGCAGGGCTAGCCTGAATGGTGGGGAGCCAACAACCATCATCAAAACAGGTAACAGCACAAAATTCTTCCTCTTGCTACTCTCTAGGAATGGCATTAAAGACTTGAATTTAGTAATAGGTACTTCCCAGGTTTTGCCTAAGATACATACATGTTGGTGTTATTTGGATAAACAATGGCCAAAAAGCCTGGATAACATAAAATGAAAAAAGATCTGCTCCCTGTGCAATAGCCCTTTGCTGCCTTTCTACTGCTAAAATAGATGGGAAGTTGGTTCTCTTTGAATAAACTAAGTTTAAGGCCAGAAGTGGGAGCAGCATGTCAGTGAGATGTTTCTGTCCTTATTTGCAGTCGCATGATACTCTATCTATCGAACCATTGAGTAACTTGTGAACATCACTGAGGGCATTTTAATAGAAGGTTGAGGGATTTGAAAGATAAATCAAGCTGCTCTGGTGGCTTTAAAGCATATATCAAGGCACTAATGGGTGCAGGGTTCAGAGCCTCAGTCTGGGCTTTGGACAGTGTCTCAGCTCCTCACAGGAACAGTTAGAGGATTCCTGTACCCAATTACAATCTTAGGTGTTGCTTATATTCTTGCTGTGTTTAAGAAAGGAAGAAGAAACCCCAAAGCTCCTCCTCCTTTGGATGCTTTGTCACTTCTAGGGAGGAATTTTGAGGTAGGCTTGAGATCATTACTGCTCTCTACTTGTGGCAGAATCCTTAGGGCTGCCACTACAGTGCAGGGTAGCACAGCTAGTACTCTCAGGGCAAGACATCCTGGATTTTCAAAGCAATTCAAAGCCTCATTTTCCTGTGCTATGTTGTACCCAGCCTGGCAGCCTCTGTGTAGCCTACTGCTCTTGTAGTCACGTCTTGTCAACCATGCTGGAAAGGTTCCATGTCCCTGGCCGTGAAGAATGGAACACATAGGTAGGCTAAACTCATACTACTGTAGATAGACATTACTCTTGCTTACATGCAATGGCTACAAGATGTAGCTGTGTGAAGAAGTCAGGTTATCATTAAAACCTAGGTCATGTACTGGAGTAGACCCATTGTTGTTCAGTGTATTTATGATCTGAAAAGGGGATGATGGATTGTCAGTTTGCTGTTGAATGGACATTAAATGCAATCAAAACTCAAGCTGAGTAAAGAGTTGCATTTATATGTTCCATGGAATATCATCTGTGGGTGTCACTTATTTTTTTTGTCTGGCAAGCAAGGCAGACGCTGGCTAGCTGCAATTTGGTTGTCAGTTTCTCTCCTGTTCTCTGCCTGTCAGCTGCCTGCTCTGCTGAAAAAGAACTGATGAGCAGAGGTTGAAGAGGAGAACCCCTGCTCTCTGTTCCTGGGCTTGGGAATCACACAGCTGTAAAGGTGGTTAGAAACTGTTTCAGCTGTGACTTTGCATGATTCCCAGTCAAGCTGTAAAATAAAAGTGAGTAAAGCCACCTCGTTCAGGTTTTGCCATTAGAGTTGCTCAAGGATTTGGGAATTGGGCTAGAGGATATTGTAGGGTTTGTGCTTCTATGGTTTGTGTCCTCTTCTCACACTCTTTGCCCTAAGGAAGTTGCCTGTGCTTTGATCCTTCACAGATACTTTGTCACAAAAACTTGGGAAATTATTTTAGAAAAGATGATCAACCAGTTTTAAAACTCTACAACAAACTTGCTCTAGTTTTGTTTGGATGGGTTGGGTATCTCTACCTGGAGTTTGTACTTCAAAATAGCCAGTTTGCTGGGACTCCATTCAGGCTCTTAGGGGCAGTGGAAAATGGGAGCAGCTTGGATCCTACCATTGTCCTGAGAATGGAGAGCTTAAGGCCATCCCTCACCATCCAGCAATTATGGAGCTTCATATTTCTGTCCAGCTTGAGATATTCGTAAGACATCTTTTTCATCCCAACATATTTAACCTGAAAGGGACTCTAACCTGTAGGGCAAGCATGTGCCTGTACATTCACAAATTCTCAATTTCTGTGGGTAAAGGATTTCTGATTTCCCCTACTATTTTCTTAGATTCTACACTTTAAAAAGGGAGGGAAATTGCTATTGCTAAAACCTGGATATGGATATGAATTAGTCTAATGAGTGTGTGTGCACACATTAAAAATCTTGCAATGTATAAAATATTTTTAGAATATTTGTGAACACTTTCAGCAAAATTTGATTGTTTAAGGTAATTCAAGATGTTTCAATGCCACATGGAAATGTCACAGGTTTTATCTGCTACAAATGACATTGTATGTGTACAGACAACTCATGATTTCTGTTGTTTGCATACAAAGTGAATGCCATTCCTGAAGAGATGTTGAGCCCTGTTGCACTTTACTTACTGTATGTTAATGGGCTCTTCAGTAAGGAGTCAGAATAAAATAAGGTTGAATATTCAATATTTGAATGGATGTCTTCAATGCTGGCCAAAACTGAAACCTTAAAATTTCAGGAAATAAGAAAAAGCCTCTCTCTTAGAAAAATTGTTTTGATCTTTGCCTTCTCCTCCTGTGAGCTGCAGCTGCTTTCTCCAGTTCTCATGTATTCTTGTGGAATGCACCACTTTTTTTATTTGTTAAAACTCTTGTGATCCAAGCTGTATTACTTTGCAGAAACATGTTTCATCGTGGAACCCCATCCAGTTCTCATCCATCACCACAGCTGTATAGCCCGTGGAGGCTTTCTGAGCTTTGCAGCTGTGGAGAGAGGTTGGGAAGGAGAGCTTTCCTCTTCGTTGTAGTAGCTTAAGTTCTATCAGCCATACATGGCTGTATAAGCCTGCTGCCAGGGACACAGCCTGTTACTATCAGGCCTGATGACAGTATAGCGGGAATATATTTATGCCTCAGGAAAAGAATGGTGATACATGAAGCCTGTGTATTCCTTTATCCCTCCATGGGGGATAGTTTTCTCTGGCTTATTGTCAACTGGACAGCAAAGACATTTACTTTAGACTTCTTTAAATCTTCTGGCATATAGCTGGCTCAAGAAAAATGAAGCAAGGAAACCAGTCAGTGAACAGGGGCTCCTGGGAATTGGTGGCAGAAGATCTTTTGCCTGCTACTTTCTTCCGTTTCCTAAAAGAGGCTGGGAGCTCCACTGCCACCAGTCAGTGATCTCGGAGACTGGGGGCTATCATCAGCAGCGCCTTAAAAAAGGAGGCTACTGCCATGAGCAAGAAAAAAGTAGGAACATTTGACAGTCTGAAGTATATGTGAGGGTGGTTTCTTGCAATGACAGGTTTAGCTCCATAGGGGCAATTGGAGAAGAACAAGTAATAATGTGAAGTCAGTGTAATTAGGTTAAAGGACAGCAAGTGCCCTTTGGAGGAGTAGAGAGATAATCAATTCACTTTCTCGGGCACCCATTCTGTATGAGTTGTGAGTCAGAAGCAGTGAGGTACATCTTTGATCTTTTCTGCCTCTTCAGCAGCAAATATACATCCAAAATGTCATGTATCCAGGTTAAGTGTGGTAAGTGTCATCTACCTGTACAAGAAAACAGAGGCTGTTTTGGCTATTGTGCAACTATGATTCATAGTAAAGTCACAGAAGCGAGTTTTAGCCAGCTCTACCCAGTGTTCTGGACCATATGCCTTTTCTCCGCAAAGGTTGTTTGTGTCACACACTGTTTCTTTAGTGGCTGTCAGTAAATAAACTTGAGAATTAATAGCAGGCTACTGGCCCACATTGTGTCATTCTTGGATAGTTACATGATGTGTGGATCTGCATTTGAAAGGTGGCTGGTTTGAAGCTGGTGCATTTCAACAGCTGGCTGGTATGAAGTGTCACTTCACCTCTTTTTGGGAGTGACCATGTACAATTCTTTTTCTTTTGGGACTGAAATCAGACTAAAACTGCTTTGTGCCTTTCTTTGGCTTCATTATTCTCTTCATTCTGCTCTTATTCAGTGGATGTATGAATCTTAAAAAAGCATAGAGCAGTTTTTCACAGTGGCTGAATTAAACCTTGGAGTGTTATATATTTACTCTGCATTCTTCATCTGAGTTAGAACTTACTGCTTAGTAATGTCATTATCTGCCATTTCCTGTTGCTTTTGGAACAGCTAACTGCCCAAGAAAAGCTGTGCACATACAGTACTAGAACATGTTCCAAAAAGAATTACTCTGCAAAAACAAAGAACTGGAGCTGAATTGCATCAGTTAACTAATATCATTATCTCTAGTGCTTTGGAGCTTGATTATCTTTAAGTATTGCATTGGCTAAACTTAGCATAAATTTGATTTTCAGAGGCCGACATATGCCGGTACCCAAGAAGCAGAAATATTAAGGATTATAAAATCTGTTCTAGATCTTGGCCTGCTAAGGAGAGTAGAGAAAGATTCTGATAATCTCTACTGTTTATTTCTCTACTATCAACTTCTTTTCTGTGCCCACCCCCTAAGGAAAGCTCACATGCATGATGAGTTGCTACCTCATAGAATCTATTATTCTATGTATTTATGAAAGCTTTGTGCATTTAAACTTCATAAGGCAAATTGTGTATTTATCTTCCAACTGACATGAAGTAGCTTTTGTTGGACCATAGCCAGAAAGCAGAATAAAATTTATCTCTAGTTAACAGTTACACTTATGAGTCTGACATTGTGCATTGGGAATAAATAGACATGGTTTAATCTATTTTCCTGCAGACTTGGGAAGTCCTGAAGGGATAGCTGTAGATCATCTGGGTCGCAACATCTTCTGGACTGACTCTCAACTGGATAGAATAGAAGTGGCCAGGCTGGATGGGCGTCAGCGTCGCATTCTTTTTGACACTGGCCTAGTGAACCCCAGAGCAATCGTTGTGGATCCTGTGAGAGGGTATGGATATGTTGTCAAGAGATGTGTGCAAAGTTTGATTTTTATTTATTTAACAATGGCATAAGTTTTAGGCTGTCTGTAGACAATAGCACTACCTTTTCCTAAAACAACCAACAAACAGAAATGGTACTTGCATCTTCTGTGTGAGTGGTACACTGGAAGTAAAACTTCTAAAATACCTGCTAGGTAATACTGTGATATTTTGTTGAGAGGTTTGTCAAATACTTACTTATGCCTCACTTTCAGTACGGTGTTTACAGGGTGAGAAGTGTTGCCCTTACCTAAAAGAATTTTTTTTCTTTTTCAAGGTGACTGGTCTAAAATACTAGATTTAAATCTTAGTATTTTCATTTCCATCATGACAACCCTTCTTTCTGTACAATGTCATCCTTATTTATTTAAATGATTTAGGATGTGCGCATGTTACTTTTATGTCCTTAGCATTTTTCTTAATTACAATAATATTCTGAGATCAGTCACTGTCTCAATTCTTGCCTCTTTTCTCCTCTTAAGAAACTTGTACTGGACTGACTGGAACAGAGAAGCTCCTAAAATTGAAACCTCATACATGGATGGCACAAACAGAAGAATTCTTGTTAAAGATGATCTTGGGTTACCAAATGGGCTGACATTTGATCCTTATTCCTCAATGCTGTGCTGGGTAGACGCAGGTAAACAGCTGCTAGAACCTTTCTTCATAATAGTAATAGAATAAGTACGTCCAATCCTAAATTATCCACAGCCAATTAATGTTCATAGCTCTCTGGGCTGCATCTTAGACTTCATGCCTTTCTTTTTGGCTTTAATATTCTCTCAATTTATTCATTGTTACTACCACTGTGGCATTTATTTACATCAGACTGTGGGAAAGCTGAAAGATTTCAATTCTGATCACAAAACTTTCTAGGAATGCAACAGGTTGTATCTGTGTGTCTTGTATGTGACTATCTCTTTAGGTGGTGCTTAGGCCTTTGTAAAAGAGGTTGTGGTCTTAAGACCAGGAAATACAGTGATTCATTTAATCTGGCCCTACAGAATGTCATAGTGGTACTGTTGCAAAACCTGTAACCTGAGGCAAAATCCAGCTTATAATTGACTGAATCAAGTCTTGAAAAACAGGTCACACTAGATTTAAAGATCAAGAGATGAAGGTTCTGCCACTAACCCATTATTAGCTGTGTGCCAGTGTCCTGCCAATCAAAAATAACAACAAAAATAGTGCTTTTAATTCTCATTAACACTTCTTTTTTTTCTTTTTTCTTTTTCTTCCCCCTCCCCCTCCATCTTTCTGTCTTTCTGTAGACTCTGCCAGAGATCTCTTCCTGTGGAGGTGCTTTTACACTTCAAGTCACCTGTCAAGTTTTTGATAAACTAAAAAGATCAAGTTCTCTTTTCACTGTAAGACACTTTCTCCAACCCTTAAATATATCTCCTGGTGCTATTTTCCTTTTCTTTTTCTCTCTTCCTCTCTCATTCTCACACTTGTCTCTTTTTCCTTTTTCTGTAATTTTGAAGTCTACTACTTAAGAGAAACCTATAGGTGTTTATATTCACTAGCAGTGTTCTCAATGCGTGTATCAGCTTTGCAGCTAGACCTTTTTACACCCTATTTGCATCTACAAGTTAGATGTTTTTCCCGCAGTCTTGCCTTCATGGCCCAACCCAGCAAGCATTTTGGGAACACTCTTACCCAAACTAACTTTGCAAAAATGCCTTCCAGAGGAGATAGAACTGCTTAGTGCTGAAGTATCCCTCCTGAATGGAGGAGACCTTCTGTCAGCTTCCATTTCAGCCTGAGGATACTGATATCTGTAGCAGGAATCTCAGTTTGTGAACAATGGCGATGGTTCCACTGGACATCTGGGTTCCTGTAAGTCAGGTGGTGTGCTGATTAGCATTAGCACCAAAGTGCTTTACCATCCAGTTTTTGGCACACACAGAGAGGTGGTGTGGGAAGTGCTTTGGCTAAGCAGCATACTGAAAGACTTCCAGGAGATTTTACTCAGTTCATGCTTGCATGCTTACACATGTCCTTAGTCCCTCATGAGAGTTCTCTTGCTCTGGTTCAAAGGCTTAATTGTTTCACTACACCTAGGTACCAAGAGGCTGGAATGCATGAACCCTAATCAGCTTGGTCGAAGAAAGATTGTTGAAGGAATTCAGTATCCTTTTAGTGTTACAAGCTATGGGAAGAATTTATACTACACAGACTGGAGAAGGTATGTTATCTGCTAAAGAAATTACAGATTGCTTTCATCTGTTCTTCTGCCTGCTAGAAACTGAAGTAGATACTGCATTTCTCATGACTGACCTCTCGCACATTCATGTTTTGTTGGTTTCTTAGTGATAGCTGATTCAGGGCGGAGTGGATCTGTAAAGCTGACCTATTAATGTTGCCAGTTAACTGAGTTTTCATTTTCAGCATAGTGATTTATCCCCTAAGAAAATGCTTCTAACAGTGAGCATTTTTGGGAAAGGTGTGGGAGCTAACATGTTTCCCTTATGGCTGTGCTTGCTGTGTTGTAAAGGGTGGAAATTTGTCACTCATGGCTTTCTATGCCCTATATTATCTGAATGTTCAAACAGCAACAAGAAAAAACTTTTTTGCTGTCTTGCTGACATTTTATTTGTGGCAAATTATGTAAACCATTGACATATGATCAAGTCTTTAGAGTTTGCTGAATCTTCCAGAAAAAAAAAATATCTATTTTTCCTTGATGTAAATGGTTGTGTGAGCTCTATCTGCAAACTCTTACACAAATTACTTCATTGACTGCAGCAGGAAGAGCTATTAATATGTGGAAGGATTTCCAAGCTAGAACCCAACAGCTGGGAAATGCAAATCTGGAACAGGCTTGTGAAATGGGAAACTGTGTTACAGGTCTATCAGTAGACTGCCCTTTTATTTTCAGGAAGAAAAGATTGTTTATGACTAGCTGTATTCCCTCCAGATATCAAGCACTACTTAAATACAACATTGTCCATAATCATTTGGTGAGGCACTGGAATAGGTTGCCCAAGAAAGTTGTGAATGCTCCAACCCTGGAGGCGTTTAAGGCCAGGCTGGACAGAGCCTTGGGCGACATAGTTTAGTGTGTGGTGTCCCTGCTCATGGCAGGGGGGTTGGAACTAGATGATCTTAAGGTCCTTTCCAACCCTAACTATTCTATGATTCTATGATTCTATGATTATGCATAATAGCTGCAATGTTTGCTCTCTACCATAGAAAATGTCAGAGAGGCAGAATACAGCGAATGTGTTGAATGCATTCCTGTAAAGGGACATCGTCCAGTGTTGGAATTACCTTCAAAATTAGTAAGGTGGCTCACTCTAAAATTTCTTAGCTGCCTAGAATGAAGGTTATGACTTATCTGAGTTGTCCAGGAAAGATGACGTCTTGGAGAATTTTGCCTCTGGCATCACTTCCTAATTGTAAAAAAACCAAAACAAAATAAAAAAAAAAAAAACCTATAAAAACCACCTTCCTTTTTGTTTATTTTGTTTTGTTCTCCCCTGTACTTCCACCTTCATCTCACTTCTGTATATTCTTTCCTGCATATGGCAGAGATGCTGTTGTAGCAGTGGATCGCATGATTTCAACAGAAAATGATAACTTCCAGCCTCACAAGCGCTCCCGTCTCTATGGAATCACTACTGCCTTTGCTCAGTGCCCAGGAGGTAATCCAGATGATTCTCAAACTTTTACAGCTTTGCACCACCTTGGTAGATAAATGAAAGTAGTAGCAGCTCCCATTGACCAGCTGCCAAGTGCTCTAGGTAGCTAGTGAAGAACTGGCTAGTGCTTAGATTTCTGTTTACTAAGAAATTAAAAGCCACCTATTATTTTTTCTTTTTCTTTTTCTTTTTTCTTTCCCCGCCCCCCCCCATAAGAACAGCAGTTGTGGTTTCCGTATGAAACTAGAATAGAGAGGTAAGAAAGGGCTTGGTCTGTCCTTTTTGTAAAAAAAAGTGTATGATCAACAGAAGGATCTGACATGGCAAAAGCTGCTATGTTGTCATTGTCTAAACTGAATGCTGTACTCATGGTTAGGGCCTTATTTACTTATTCATTATTATGCCCCATCCCTGGCAGTGTTCAAGGCCAGGTTGGACAGGGTTTTGAGCAACCTGATCCAGTGGAAGGTGTCCCTGTCCATGGCAGGGGGTTGGGACTAGACAATTTTTAAGGTCCCTTCCAACCCAAACCATTCTGTGATTCTATGATTTTTAACTTTGAACTACAGAAATATCATAGTCTTCCAGATGGTCTTAATGAGATCCAGTGTTTTTAAAAAGAGAATGTTGAGAACACAGCAGGTGGTAGAGTGGCTGCTCTGGTCTTTCTCCTCTGTTGAATGTTAAATTTTTCAGATACTTTGTTGAAAAGCCCCTTGTGAAACTTAGAAGAGTGGAAGTTGATACGCTTGGAATAACAATTTGTTCTTGGGAAGCAATATCACCATTCAATTATGTTGTTCTTAGCAAATCACGGAAAAGTTCACTTTTTTATTATTACAACATGGCTGGAAATACTGGAGTTGTGGCATTTCTACTTTAGGCCTAAAACACCTAAGATCATTTGTCTTCAAATTATTCAACATAAGTAGTGAAAAACCTGATTTTATTGAAAGCTTGGTTCAGAGCTTAAAAACACGTATAAATGTCATAATTAAGAAATCAGTTACATTGTTTTTACTAGTAATTCACAGTCGCATTTTGGTGAGCAGTGTAAAACAAAACAACATTGTGTGCTCTGAGTAAATGCTTATGTTTATAATATTCAGAACCTCGGTATAATTTCTCATCATATATTCATTTCAAGTGCTTTTCTGGAATGAATGCTTTACCCCTCAGATCCATTGCTTCTGGCACTGGCTTCTCTTTCATTTTACCCTTCAACATTAATGTGCTCCTGTCCACCCACCCCATTTCTTTTGTTTTTGTGGGTCACCCCTCCACGTTTTTGTAGTGGGTGGTATCCAGGGATGGTGTCATGTAGTATTTTGGATTTTGTCCCCATGCGTTGTACTTGTATTTCCTCACTCACTGTGTCTTCATTCTAATGTCTGTGACCACTTGGTCAATTTATGAAAGGCATTTCAGGAACAGTTTTTTCATGTTGCCTCACCTCCTCTGTCCTTATATTGTGATCTTTTGGGTGACTATCAGGAGCTGACACAGGGATATAATGACTCTCATCTCCCTAAAGCATATTTTTTGTTTCACTCTCAGTCTCATTATGGCTTGTTTTCCTAGTGTAGTCAAGTAATCTGCACTTCTTTTGTATTATGTGTATTGGTTTTATTGAGGTTTTGCTGGGTTTTTTATCTTTAATGTTTTATGTTCTTTTCCAGGACATAACTACTGTACAGTGAATAATGGTGGTTGCACTCACCTCTGCTTGGCTACCCCAGGAGGCCGTTCTTGCCGCTGCCCTGACAACACGGTTGGAGTGGATTGTATAGAAAGAAACTGAGCATTAAAATATGTTAGAGCAGCAGATGCCTTTTGGAAATGTGCTGTAAACAATTCACTCCTATCAACACAATGAGGCCTTAAAGATAAGTGCTCCATGCTGCTGAGAGCAAGCCATGATGCACATATGCAAGCACACACAGAGGCAATAACTGTTTTGTAGCAGTTGAGCAAGACAAAGCTGCCCAGGTTGGGTCCAACTGTATCTTGTTCCTTCTAATATTATCTACTTACTTTTAAAGAGACTGTAGCTCATGTGATCCTTTCACACAGCAAGTGATTCTTTATAGGTGATCAGCACTGCTTAGTGGATATAGTTGAAGTTTTTGTTAGATTTTAAAAGAGATTTATTTTTCTTCCAAGGTGAATTCCTGAGTAGTTCCCTAAAATCCACTAAACAAACTTAAAATATAGATCTCAATTGCTGATAGTTCACCAAAGAATAGATGTTGATTCATTCGGAGACATTTGGCTTTAGTGACACACAGTGACATTTGTTTCCTGAGAGCTTTTAAAATAACATTTCTGTGCTTGATGCTATTAGCCTGAAAGTGGTCTTTAAATTCTAGCTAGAAGTCTTTCTCCTTTAGCAAGCTGTGCCATACCTTTTTGTAGACCATGAGAAACCATGGCAGTTGAAAATCTGATTTCCATGAAGGTCACCTGTGTCTTGGTGCTTAAAAGAAAAAAGACAGTGATCCCCTATTTGTGTGCCAGTGTCTAGTAACAGCAAAAAGGTGTGCTGAAAATCAAAGCAAAGTTGATGTTTTCATCACTAGTGAGTTTGGAGCAGGGAGAGAAAATCAAAATGCATATTCTTACGTCAAATTAGCAGTATGAATCTGGGAGTGAAGTCTGGCTTCCACACTGTGTGTTGGGAAGGAAGCTTAGCCACAAGCCAACCTGCAGCAGCAGAACAGAACAGGGCTTGTGAGGCTTCTGCCAGAGCACGTTTCACAATGTCATGATCAGAGTAGTAAGCTAACATCCCCACTTCCTCACTCCCTCTTCAGACACAACAGTAAGTTTTAAACAGAGCCAAGTGAGTCTTAACTGTGTGATAACTTCCTCTTTAATTGTATATTTATCATAAAATAACAAAGCATATAAACATTTTAAAAATTTTTTTTATAACGTTTTATAACTTTTAATTCATTTTATTCATACACATAATCAGGTATGTTTTACTGTAAATATCAAAAATGTGTTGAAATGAAGGTGCTTGATAACTTTCTCCAGAATTATTCACGTATCAGGTGAAATATTAAAGTTTACACTCTGTACAGGTATTTACAGTACAGTCAATAAAAATGTTTGGTTTTTATTTTCTGTAAAAAAGAAAGTTATGCCTGCAGAAGGACCTGATATGTGGTGTCTCAAATCTCTTTTCCTGTTGAGTTCCAGGTTTTAGCTAACTCTTTTATCTAGTGATGATACTTCTCTTGTAAAATGCAACACTATAGGGGAAAAACTGCTGTTGGGGCTTTTGTATTTTGAAGCCCATAGGATACTTTTATTCAAAACAAGTATGTGAGAGTGCTTAAAGAACATACGACTCCCTCTGTTCTGACACAGAGCACTGGTTGTTAATGGTTGTTGAACTTTCAAGTAAGCATGATTCAGTTATACCATACATCAGACTTACACATTAGTGGAAATTTAGGGCAAGGACTAGCTTAAGTCTGTGTTCTGGTTGCAAGCTCACTGAATTGTGGTCTGCTGGAGGTGGTGATGCTGAGATTTAAACTCAACTTTCATGGCTACAGCCTGTCAGTGCCTCAGGGAGGGTGGCAAAAGGCTCTGTAGTACTGTGTAGATGGACAGCCGGGGCATGCCTGTCAAGTGAGCGGTTGGAAAGGTGGACAGTGAGTCAGCAAAGACAGCTATTGAGATCCAAAGGGTGGTGTGTGGAGTTACAGGAGGAGATTGGTGTTGATCTGTGGTGGGGACTACACATGAAATTGGAGGAAGTTGGGGTTTTAGTTTGTTATTTACTGTATGGTTTGATTTTTTTTTTTTTTTATTTTTATTTTTTTGATCTTTCAAAACTGATGATTGCCTGCTTTGTATATGGACCAACACAACATTCCTCTTTGTGTATGATGACAATTGCTAATTTACTAAACCCCAGTCAGCTGATTCAGAGCTTATCAATGAACAATGACAAAGACGTCAAAGAAAATACACCTCAGCAGAACTTCTAGTGTTAATGTGTGAACTGCTATGTGGTCTGTAGGACAAGGAGAGAAATTGTATTACTATGGGCTCAATTTTTAGACTGAGTGACTCTTAATTCTGGTATCACATCTGGCAGTAGGTAACACTAGATTAGGGGAAACTTCAGCAGATCTGTGCCTGCAGTGTAGACGTTGGTAGTTTACACAACTTCCAACCTTCAGCATTGTGGTTCCTAAAAATAAGGAACTTTTTTAAAGACTCCAGCAGGTTTTGTTTCTCGGCAAATACTTGTTGATCGCTTCAGCTGTTGTAACTCTATGTCAGACTGCAGCAAGTGCTCAGCTGTTCCCTCAGGGAAAGGAGACCAGCGGAAGCAGTGACTTCACCAGCAAGGAACCAATCCAACCATACCCCAAGTGAGGCAGACAATGCCCATGAGGGTAGTTGGGTTCAGCCCAGGGACCAGACCACAAAGCAGTTCTGTAGTGACCAAAGGGTAGGTCCAAAGTCAAGTTGGGAAGTTGAGTCAGAATCACAATCAGGTCTGGACATAGTGACCAGGATAGGTGATTTCCAGACAAGTCCATAGTGGTGAGGCAGGCTCGCAGTCAAGCTGGGAAGACGGACTGGACCTGGATCCAAATGGGGTGCATGGCGGTGGCACAGCTCAGGCAAGAGGCAGGGTGAGAGCCTCAGCTTTATCGCAGCATTGAAGCGAAAGTGGGTTGCCCTCATTGAGGTCTCCCAACAGAGCTGTTTGAGGGTGAACCTCTGCTGAAGTTCCTTCAAGTTTTCTTCATACTTTCTATCAATCAGCTGGCCTTGAACAGTCAGCTAAGCTGCTAGTGGTTGGAGTGTGCTCCAGGTCTTGACACTCCGGAGTTCTTTGTTCCTATACACATTTGCTTTTCTCATTGAATCTTGCTAAATCTTTGTTCTCCAAAATGATCCGTGGTGTTGAGTTCCTTATTTTAATCACAATTTGGGTAGGAATCTCATCCTTTGATGAGATTTGGCATTAGCCATTCCAGGATATCTGTCCTCTGCCTATCATATTTTTTCAGTTAAATGTTCACAAGTGTTTTGAATGCTGCAGATGTGAATTTTCTAGTTCCTTCTTTCACCCCTAAAGAGTTAATGGCATCTTTTTATAATAGAGAGTGTTCTCATGCTGACTTGTCTAATGCATCTACCCTCTCCTTTTACTAACTTGTTTATTAGTGTCTGATTATTGTAGTTTTGCTCAGGAGCAAGTACGTTTCAGTTATATTTTTACATTGCATTTTGGGCTAAAAGGGTAATGGAAAATGGGTTGTGTTTTATTTCATTATTAACATTAACTTTTATTATTATTATTATCATAATAGACTGGGACTGGTAATCATGTCAGTCTCTGGTTGAAGAAAAGATCCAGTGTGACTACAGTCCACTTTCTTTGCTACAGAAAATAGTAGATTTCCAGGTTTTCCAGGAAAGGAGAACAATTGCTTCAATGGTTAAGCAAAAGACAAAATACATCTTAGATTTATTCCAGAGGTAAGTTAAATGTTTTCTTAAATGCTTCTATTCAGATCTTCCAGCACACATGGAAATATTTAATGGTAAGACCATTAGTGATGTTTATCAATGATGTAATAAGTTGCAAAAAAGTGGAATCTACTTAAAGTAGCACTGGCTTCCTGGTGACTTAATGGGGTGGTTGAGCTATCTTTCCATCCAAAGGGTGTCTGAAAACCCCTACTTTACCCACTTCTTAACCTGTAAAGAACTCTCTCCTCATGGTGGAAATTCAGTGTGGCTTTCTGAAACACAGCATCCTGTCCAGTGTTGTTCCAAGCTGGCAAACTGCTTACTCTGCACTTCTTCAATTGCACAGTTTTGTCACAGCATATTAGATTTTTAACTTGCAGGCATATAATCCAGTTTGACAGATGAATGCTAGAGGATAATGGCCCCTCAGTGGTAGTGTCACAATGCATCAGTTTAACCTATGGTTACACGCAAACCTTCCTGTGTAGTATTTCATAGTGTATTGCTTGGACATCTTGCTGGGGTTTATAAGAAAAAAAGCAAGATGTGAAACACACATGGCTATGGAGAATACAGCTGTGGGAATCCCCCTGCTTGGCCAGTCTGCAAGAATTAAATATTACCTCCAGAAAGTCCAGTCCCTAGCTGGGAATCTGGCAGCAGCTTGTTCTTAAAGTGGTTGAATCATCTCCTTTATTTAAATTCTACTCCACTTGAGATCTGTCCTATATCTTAGGATAAGTTTAGGACAGCATGCCAATAAAATAGGTGACAGGTCAGTATATTGTACCCTACAGGTGTGCATATTGTTGACTCTGGAGCTTTGCTTGACTAACAAAAGGCTCAATGGCCAGTTGAATGTAGTGAGTGGGCTTCCCTCCTGCTTTGTGGCAAAGCAGATGGGACTGCAGTAACTTAATGTCCTTCTTTTTCCAGAAGGGTTCTGGAGTTGATGAATGGGGACAGACTGCCATTCATGCAAGTAACCAGGATGGTATATTTCAGCCTTTTTAAGTATTCACCAGAGTCCATTCAGTTTGTGGTGGCGTTGCTTGCTCTGGGCAGTCAGTGTTTCCTACCCAGTGGGGTGTCTAGAACACACAGGAAGCACACAGAGGAGCTGCGTAGTGCAGGGCCTTCAACTTGAGGAAAATGGGCTGCTGTACTGATGTTTGTGGGGCATGCCAAGTGGCAGCTGTGAATCTGACCCAGTAACTTGCACAGGAGCGTTGGGGATGACACTGGAAATCTTCCCATGTTACAGAGAAAGCGAAAATGCGGTGGAAGGTTACTGAAGAGGAAGATTTTATGGAAGTGGTTGCAGATGCATGTGAAGTATGGGAGGTGGGGGAAGCAATTAGCATGGTGGTGGTTATACTGCGGTCTTCAGTTAGTTCAGCAGTATGCTGCTGGGGAAGGGGTGAGGGAGTCTAAATGCAACATTGTTAAGTTACAGTTAGTTTTGGAAACCTTTCCAGTCCCTTCCTTTCCCAGTAGGACCACAGCACTGTCTTCAGGC